AGAGTTTTCACAGCACAGCGCTGTGGTTTGGAGAAGAATGTTGATAACACACAGATGCTTCAGTTGGTGCTGAGCAGGGCTTACACTAAGTCAAGGACTTCCCCTGCTCTGCCAGGGGTACAAGGAGCTGGGAGGGGGCATGGCCAGGACAGCCGACCCCAACTGGCCCAAGGGCTATTCCAGACCATAGGGCGTCATGCCCAGTATAGAAACTGGGGGAGTTGACCGCAGGACAGCGATCGCTGCTCGGAAGGGGCTGGGCATCGGTCAGTGGGTGGTGAGCAATTGCACTGTGCATCTCCTTGTATATTCTCTTACCATTATTTTTATTACTATCGTTATTCTTTTATTAAACTGTCTCTATCTCAACCCACAGGTTTCACTTTTTTCCCCCCCTGAGGGGTGCAGGGGTGAGGGGTGAGCGAGGGGCTGGGCGGTGTTCAGCTGCCCACCGGGTTAAACCACGACACCCATGGATCTCTGCTCCCAGCGAGGCAGTTCCTGCTCTCGGCAGGCAGGCGGGGGCTCGATAGCCTCTGGGGCTCCTGGCAGAAGGTCTGCAGGCTGAGATGGCAGGAGGTCTGTAAGCAGATGGGAGTCCCCAGGGACTGGCCAGATGGGGATGCAGGAAGGCGGGGTGGCCACAGCAGAGTCTCCGTGGAGGGACCCACCTCCTCAGGTCTCAGGACACAGTTTGAGCTGGGTCCCCTTACCCACCCAGAACCAGGGGTGGATTCGCTTCCCTGCAAACACAGCTCGCGGGAAAGTGAAAATCACAGCCTCGCTGTCCACATTGACAAACATCACCTGCCCCCCTGCATGATCCAGACAGACCCGCACCCGCCGGGGGACGGTGCTGGGGAGGACAGGGGTGGGAGATGGGGAAGTGAGAGCCTGGAACTTCTCCTTATACCTCCCCACGGCCCAGATCCCCCCCACGGGGCTCATATCAATCAGTCCCTTTCTCTTCACGGACTCCAGGGCCACCCCCACAGCCCAGCACAACCCATAGGCCACCTCCACCTCCCAGCATGGTCGCCCCGAGTCGAACCCCTCGCAGCCCAGCACACAAGGCCATGGGTCAAATCGCTCTGGGTTGTCAAGCAGGCCCTGCTGTCTGGCTCCCTGCATCACACTTCTCTGGTCTGCTGACAAGACGAGCTGGGACTGAGCCGTGCCTGGATCCAGAGTCACCATCACTGCAGGAGAGAAGACGGGTCCAAGAATGAGGGGGCAGAGATCAGTCCTGGGAAGAGTTTCACCATGCCGGGTCCATGTTTGGTCCTGGCTTGGGTGGAAACCTGGCAATACTTCTCTTCCAGAAGGTGCCTAGCTCAAAACGGGGAGCAGCTCTGTGCCCTGAGCCATGCATGTGAAGATTCACTGTCCCCCAAAACACGTGTTGCCACCCCTTACAACCAGGGCTAATTGGAGGAGGCTCCCCAGCAGAACTCACCTTTTGTGTACGGTCCCTGTGATTCCTCCACGCCTTCCCCGGTGTCAATCAAAGCATCTGAAAGAGAGGTGGAGCCCAGAGGTCACCTCTGACGTCTGGATAACACCACCAACACTAGGAGGTGGTCTGTGGAGACCCAGGGTGGGCAGAGATCCTTCACCCTTCCCTCCCCAGTGCACACACAGCATGCTGCCTGCGCCTGCCAGCTTCTCTGGTTGAAGCAGGAAGGAAGAAACCTAAAGTAGCAGGAGCACAAAAGAATTTTGGGCTACCTAGCACAAGATGGACATGGCCATACTGCAGCACATCCAGAGGGTCACCAGGACAGTTTGAGGAGTTGTGGGATCTTCGTTTCAGGGATATTCAGAACTCAACTGGAGAAAACCCAGAGCAACCCCCACCTAATGGTGCCTGCTTTGAGCAGAGGTTTGGACTAGATGACCCCCAGAGGTCCTTTCCAGCCTAAATTACTCTGCACGATGCCGGGCTCTGCCTGACGGTCATCTCAATCACTTCTTTGGGGATGAGCCTCCTCGTTAGGAGAGTATGAGCTGCAAATCATTTGGGCACATTGGCACATCTGGGACTTGTCCACATTTCTGGCCCACTTCCAACATGGAGCAGGTCTGGAGCACAGACCTGGAGCAGAAAGAGCTGCGGCACCATCGAAGTCAGGCCTTGCACAAAGGGTGTTGAAACGGGTTCACATGCAGAGCAATTTACTCGTGGGCTCCAGAGCTGATGACGTGAACCAACACTAACATTGAGTATTCTTTTGGGGAAAAATAAAAGCAAAGGGAGATCAAGAGAGAGCGGGGAGGAAGGGGGGAACACCCTCCCACTTCAGCTGTCACCTCTCCAGCGTGTCCCCAGGGCAGAACATGCTGCACAAGGGCACTGACCACCCCTTCTTCCCACCCCCGGGATGCTTCTCTCTTCCCCTCCAAGATCCCTCCTTTGTACCTTGGGGTTTTCTTGGCGCCTCCTCGAGCGTGGGAGCTTTTTCTGAGCAGATGCTGGGCTCCTTCAGCTCGTGGCTCATCCACTCCTCTTGCTGGGGTTCTGCCCTCTCACACCTGGAGTCGTACAAGCCACAGCATTTATATCCCTCCCTTAACTCATTCTCCTGTTAGAGCCCGTTGCTAGAGACCACTTTCAGCTGAATCAATACCCTCCAGAGAGTTCATTCCAATTTTTTTTTTTTTTTTTATAAATTATACACCTGCTTGTCTGTATTAGTTTGCAAAAGTCATTTGGCTAAGTCACATCTGAAAGCTGAAAAGTGAAATAGAAGTCTC